TTAAATGTGTGAATAATTATCTTGCGGATTTCGTAAGCAGAAATATCGAGTTTGGAGATTGATATATCACAGAAATGATATCAGGGATAAAATCTGCGGCAGCTTATGCCAAAGATGAAGCAGATGATATAAAAATTGGGATGGAGACATTAGCTGAAATTTTGAGTTATAATGTTAAATTATTACTTGGGATCAGTGAATCCTATACAAATGTTACAAACAAAATGAAAGACAAAATTGATGCCCTTGAAGCACAATTAATGTCTATGGATACAAACAGGGATATAAAGATTGATGTTGTAGCATAATTTATTGATACAAACAAGTTGATACGAACAGGAGATACAAACAGAATGATTAAAAAAGACAATGATGAAAGAAGCAGTAGAGGACCCCGAGGAGATGCCATTATCAAAAGTCCAAAGAAGATAACAATCAATGAGAATCATACAAGGACTATCAGGATAAGGACGGATGAATAAGAGGATACTACTTCTTTATCGCCAAAAGAAGACGAATATAAACAATTTAAAAAAATCGTTTATGAACTTAAATCAGTAGATCCATATTATATATCTCCAGGAGATCATATCTACACAAGAGTGATAATTATGAAAGGAGCAGATCTAGTAATGACCAAGGTTGCAATAGACTTCGGATATATTGATCTAATATATCCAGATACAACATTAGAAGAAATTGAGAGATTTGATGATATATTAAAAGTCAAGTTTCACAATTTGCACAATAGACCAATATATATGAAATTCTACTCCATAAGTCCAGAAGTTGAAGATGGAATATACTATCCAGCTGAACATATAATTACAATTGGACATGTTGGAAAAAATTTCCAAATGGATATAGGAGAAGGTGAAAAGCCAGTTCCAAATTTCTCCAGAGCATGGATAAAAACATGCGGGTACTAGAATATAAAGTTCTATACAATATGGCAAAAAATTTGTATGAACGAAAATTTCGATGCCTATGCCAGTACAATGGATGGACACTTTAGCAAATGATGGCAAATAAAAATCTGAAAATTTTAAAAGAATATATCAATAAATTTGATATATATCAGATAAGTGGCAGCATCTCAACCATCAAAAGGGCATGCGAAGCTAGAGGGTGTCCCACTTGCCAACAAAAAAAAAGGAGATTTCAAAGAGATAAGGAGGATGTGATTTAAAGAAGACAGCTGCATATAAAGACAACCCATTAAAGAAGATGTGATATAAAACAGTTGCATGTGAAAATTTTAATGGAAGGGTCGGTAGGCTTTTGATAGAAAAAATACAAATTATTAAGTGTTATATAATGTATGGAATGATGTAAGAGACCAATAGTTTTTGCCTCAATTAGATGTTTAAATAGAGGTCTTCGGGCCAGATGTAAGGCAGAACGAATTTGAACACTCAGTCTTGTAAGAAAGCCAAAAACCTTTTGTCAAACTTTGTATCAATTTTCAAATATATCAATACTACCAATTTTGAATAGATCATTCACATTCCAATCCTCTCAATTAGAAATGAATTTCTAAACTATTTTTCCCATAGATTCTTGAAAGATTAAGGGAAAGATTTCTCTCATACTTTAACAAAANTAAGGTAAAACTATTAGTTTTGTTAAATTTGGAAAGAATTTTCTTAAGATCTTAAACAAATTGTAGGGATTATTCATATTGATATTTGTTATAATACATGTTTTATTATCAGTTGATGATTAAAATGTCAGGATATACTATAAAAGGATTAGATGATCTTTTAGACAGAATGTTAGAAAAAATAAAAAATATCATAAATTAAGGTAAAACTATTAGTTTTGTTAAATTTAGATAGAATTCTCCTTATATCTGGAAAGAATCGCAGGGATTATATATGATGTTGTTTGATGTATGCTTTATTATCAGTTGATAATTGATATGCCAGT